TATGGCATTTGCATCATCCCTACATAATAGCACAGGCACACAGTGTAGTAGAATGTTAACAGACAAAAATAGGATAAATTTAACTTGCTTGTGATTGAATAGTTACATATATTTTTATATGTTAATTCTTGCCTGTGATAACTGGGCATGATTCAGATCATTTGCAATTAATATCAAATAATCAACTAAGTACTTCTTCATGGACTTAAATGTTAAAAGCTACTAAAACACAAATCATGAAATAATAAAATGATCAATCTGTCTTACTTACTTTTATTCCATTAACCTTTCCTTAGTGTAAACCATTCAATACAGACAAAATCACTCATGATGTTAAAATCAAACACATAGTACATGACATTTATATGTGCAACAACTAATCCAAACCCACAAGTGAACACTGTAACTTTCACTACAGTAGTTCACACCTTTTAAACTGATCTCAACAATGGTGTGATTCAGGTATCTACAGCAGTTTTCTTTTTCTACTTACAAGGTAATTGTTAACCTGACTCCCCTCAAACAAAAATTTATTATTACATCAGTCACTAGTAAAATGAAAATAGTGGTTTTCAGTATTTATTCAGATGTTCTCTTAGTTTCCATAACCCTGCATCTGAAATTTGTATCCTTCTTCTTGTGTTAAATATGTTATAGTAGTGATATCCATTAGACAATTATTTTATACAACTATAATATAGACAATAAGACTGAAGTTTCACATAAAGATAATTCACGGAAACTCCTTATTTTCAAATGTGTTTGAGTAAATTTATTTAACTGTTAATATTTGAGAAATTCTGAACTTGAACTGTGTAATGTAACTAATCAGCTATGTGTTTATATTTAAAAGGGATAAATAATTACATAAAAAAGTGGGTTCTTTAATCTTAACAGAAGTAAGATATTTACAGATCAAGTATGTACATGATGGTAAAGTAACAATGGTTCCTTTTTAGGTAACAATTTCCATGACTGTGTATTTATTATTACATACTGAAACAGTTGCAAATAGGAATACTTCTCTTGTCAAAATGTTTGAGTTTAAGACAGCAATTTTTAAGAACTTGGATCTTATCTTAGCTAGCTCATTAATTCTGAAGGTGAGAGAATGTAATGTTAAGTGTAGTTTATAATTATAAAACCCATTGCAGAGATGCTTTCAGTTCAAGCTAAGAGGTGGAAAACATGTACACATTACCATAAAGTAACAAATGTTTTGAGGGAACAGCCAAAAATGGTGACACTCTCACTTAATGTTCTTCTCAACAAATTAGTTGAAAGCTTTTCATAAAGAGACGGAGCATCTGTGTTCAATGTTGCTACGAATGAAAGGCAGGTAGTAATTGCCTTGGTCAGAAAAGACTAATCTCAGAATTGTTAGTATTTTTCATCATTTTAGTCAGTCTCTGAACTTGCTGTGAGAGGTTGAAATGTGAATTTGGTGTAATTCTGTTTTTTTTAAATTAAATCTTGGATTTCCAAAATTTGTTGAAAAACTAGAGATTCTAAAATCTTTATTGTTTGTCCTTTCAATACTCTTGCAAGTTCACATTCCAGGTCAGAAAGGGAGGTCCTAGTTTTATGTAACATTAACTGCCTTACAGATATTAGATTAGATTAAAGATGGTTAACTCTTGTTTTGAATGACTGAAATAGAGACTCCTAGGAAAGGATCTTGGTTATTTCTTATTTCAATGTAAATCTGCATTAATTTCAATAAGTTATTATAATTCTCTTGAAAAACAATCTGTAGTTTCTTGGTTTATCATGTACTGATATCTAGTCATTTATCTCAAAGTTAATTTAAATTTTAACTTTTTCACACACAATACACTGTCTTAAAAGTATTAAAGATTAAATCTTAAAATTTAAACTCAAAGCTATCTCCTTAGGATAAATTGATTTCTGATTATTTACTCTCTTTCTTGTATTGTTTTCATAGAATAATATAAATCTTTTCATACTTTTCAGCATTGTGTTTACTGCATATTCACCATGATAAACACCTTGTCCATCCAAAGTTTATTAACTTACATCTCACCTAGCTTATTGCCATCTATGGGTAGGAATACCAGATACAAAAAGCTTTTCTCCAAAGATGGGAAGATTAATAAATTCAATCAAGTAAAAATAGTAGAATTTATTGATGGTAGAAATCTCTTTGTAACCATAATATAATATGTATTAAATAATTAGCTATGGAATCTGTATCCCAAACAAAACTATGGGTATCACGCACATTTCTACATCAAGTAATAAAACCCATTAAATCACGCTTAAATTTACTTTCATAATATTCTGAAAATGTGGTCACTTCAAAATAATCATTTTAGTATTATTTGTAATTAATGTTTTGGGAAATAAATACACTTTGTATGCCTCCAGATATTTCTGCAAGTATGCAGAAATGTCTAAAAATAAATTACTCTGTTTTCAAAATAAGAGTAGTGGAATAGTTACCAGTGTTTATGAACAAAATACTAATTTTAATCTGCTCGTCATGCAAATGAAAATTATAATTTTCTGATATTGAAAATGTATTTCCGATAGGCACTTCCCTCCACTTACAAGATTAGCTATTCTTGTTCTTTGCTGCCCCCTATATGCAAATTTTTTATTTATGCATGCCACAAGCCTTCTGCTCCCCTATTGGAATCAAGTGATTCCAACATGTCTCTTATGTAAATCATCATGCATCACCTCTCCACCTATAGGAGCATATTACACTCATCTGACACATGTGACTCCTCCTATGTGGGGAGTGTGTGGGGAGGAAGAATGGGTAGTGTGAGAAGAAGGAAGTATCTATCTGAAATACATTTTCAGTATAGGAAAAATATAACTTCTGTTATGGTACTTCCCACAAGATTAGCTATAATACTACCTTGATTAGGAGGAGGGACCAGTGTGAGGGAAGAACAAAAGCATCCAAAGGATACCTCCGTAGATGAGGGAGTCAGATCTGAAGATGGGAACTGCACCACTTCTGAGCCAGGTATACTCTTTGCCCATGTGTAAAATATCAGAGTGGAAAATGAGGAGCACATCTGAGTGGGAGAGAATGTGGTAGGAAAGTAATCCTAACCAGAGAAAGATATTGTAACTCAATCACATAATGAGAAAAATGAGTAAACAAGGATATGCCAGTGGATGTAGAGTGGCTAGGGCACAGCAGACCATACTCAGTAAGTCAACTACTTCTAAAACCTCCTCGTGGTGTTCCAACATCTGTGCAAGGGTAGGATGAGGATCATACTGTCTTCACCTCATACCCACGAAATGGAGAATTGAGAAACACTCCAATTCCCGGGTATGACACAAGAATTAGCTCTGAGCTATCGATCTGGGAATGTGACATCTGGTATTGACAAAATGTTTATCGCATGTAATCAGCTGCCGCGATCATGAAACAGATCAGAACCATCCAAAGGGCAATAACATCCATGTAACAAGAGAGAATGAGGGAGAGCCAAGGATACAACCAGAATAGTCCCACAACACAGAAGGAGGAATTCAGGGAGGAAGATAGACAACCTGAAACCTGTGTGAGGACTTATGTTGACTGGTTCACTCTAAATCCAATACCAGGCCACGGGGTACTGACATCTACATGGCAGTAAGATGAGGGCTCTCAATCGAAGGGGTGAACTGCATTTTCTTTGGCTCAACTCCTATGGTTGTGAAAATGGTCTCGGGAGGCCAAGGTGATGACTCAACTCATCTGGAGGCCACGTCTCATCTACATCAGCAGAACACCACTGCTCTACTCTCGACTGAATAATTATAGCCATCTTTTTTGTGAAACCCATTGAAGAGGGTGCCTCCACGATCAACCACTTCAGTAGCTTGGAACTGGAAAATGGTAAGGACTCCCATACTCCACTAGAAGAAAAAGGGGTGAATATGTGGTGGAGAGTCCAGAGGAATGTCACCACCGGAGACAGTGCAATGTGTGACTATGAAACCCTATTTTGAAAAGCAGACCATACCTATTTATTCAATCAAGGCATGGCAGTGATGGGTAGCTATCCCCTTCTGCTTAACCCATGCAGTCCATGGGTGGTACAGTCAGAAACGGGCATATTTATGAAGCAAAAACATTGAAAGTGATCTTGTGAAACTCCCCCATCTCAACAGTGAGTATTGCAAAGCCATGGATAAGAGCATAATTCATCGTGGCTGTACAGTGCGGATTTCAATTGACGGATAACTTGTATGACACAATTTGCAACAAAGCAGGATCCAAATAGTGAATAATGAAGCAAGGGCCCCCTGAAAGGAAAGAAATAATGAATAGAAACTTACACAGAGTCGAACCTAAGGATGAAAAACGGTCACAGGTGGTAGACGAAAACCCGATGAGGAAGAAACCGTAATACAGTGTAGGTAAGGGGAGACAAACTTATTAGGTGTAGTCCTCATGCCTAAATGTAGGAGTTCCCCAATGGCTGATGAAGATGAGATGCCAGGGAAAAGGTAAAGCTGTTGAATCTGATGAGAAGACACCTGGAACAAAGTCTGGGA